AAATTTTTGTTCTGCATCTTTTCTAATTTTGTGGTAAGAATGTTAAAATAAACAACTGCATAACATTGTTTCTAACCTGTTTTAGACTTTTAGATCATATTTTAATTATGATCACAAACCTTACACAAACATAAGAAACCTTATGTCTGGAAGCCAGATCTGCATCTAATTCAGTGGATTTATTTTTTCATTATTGCAACATATCAATAACTTTTCAATGATTTAGTCATAACACCAATACTTAAATATTAAATGAAGAGAATAATTTTTACATTCATACAGAATACATAATATTGTCCCCTTCAAGACGCATGTTTCCATTAACCCACTTATTCTGAGGGTACTTGAAATTATTTTTTATAGCCTTACACTGGAACAAGTATCTAATTTTCAGTTTCCAGCAAAACACAGTACAACAAAGTTCAAGTAAAAGTGTTCATTTATATAACATCTTCCATATTAAAATACACTGAAAGAAAAATTAGTAAGCTTTCAGTCTCATTTTTTATTGTAATAGTACAACATAATGCTTTATAATGACCCATTTTTGTCTAATATTATATTATCTAGCTATACTGAATAGCAGATAATGCTTCAGAAATTCAGGTAGCAGACTTTCCCACATAAAATTGCCAGAAATGGATCTTTGGCATATAAAAACAGACATACTCTACCACTGATATAAAAATGTTTTTTTAATAAATATATTTTCCCCAAATAGAGTAACTTTATAAATTTTTAAAAATATTTTCAAGAATAGCTTTATTTACTTGCTAATAAAATAATTACATTTGTGTGTTTGAGCCTAAAAAAGATCCAGGAAGATTAATGTAAAATTCTTAATACTGAATCCCTTTAAATGGCAGCCAGTTATTCTTTACAGCTTCAGGAAAGGTGTTCGTTTTTTGTGATGGGCCATGTTAAGTTTCAATGTTTAACTTTTCACATACGAGTAAGAATGAAAATAAATGTTTGCACTCAGGATTTTATTTAGAAAAATATTGCTTCGCAATATTACAAACAGGAGATATTTTTCCCTTTTATTCTCTAACTCAATAGGACAGAGTCCATTTATATTCATGTAGCTCTAAATTAGTGATGGCGAACCTTTTAGAGACTGAGTGCCCAAACTGCAACCCAAAACCCACTTATGCATCATCGAGTGCCGGGTGGGTGTGGCCAATTGGGTGGGCATGGCCAACTGAGTGGGCGTGGCTGCGGTGGTAACGGCAGACTGGGTGGGACTAAAAAGTTCAATCAATCAATTCCAACTTTGCAAGATCTTTTTTTTTCCACGAGAAGTTGAAATTGACTGATTGATTTTTTTTTTTTTTTGCACATGGCAGCGGAGGCCTAAAGCAAAAAGGTTTTATGAAACCCAGCTGAAGGCCTAGGACTGGGGCGATGGTGCGCGTGCCCACAGAGAGGGCTCTGAGTGCCGCCTCTGGCACCCGTGCCATAGGTTCGCCACCACTGCCCTATACTGATTTCTCTTGCTCACGTTATACTGTAATACACGTGTGGAATGGACAGATTTTAAAAAAAACTTTTATAGACACTCATATAATCAACATATAGCTGCTGTGAAATTCTAACCTTAACCATATTTATTGAATCCTATTAACATCTATGGACTGTGGAATTGCCTTCAAGAAATTACTACCAAAAGCACAGTAACCGACATTTAATTATCTGAATCCCTCTCTCTATATAGAATCATATATAGTATAAATAAATGGCTTTAGTGTTGGAAGACTGAATATTTTGACTGCTCCTAAGCTATGATAAACACTTCATATCCCCAAAAAAGAAAACATAAAGCTGAGGTCAGGAAATAGTTTTCTTCTTTCTCATTGACCATGAAATATAATTCACAAGATTGGTTTTAACTTCATCACTATTTCCACCATCATATTAAATAATAGAGGATTCCATCTATGTGTCATTTGACAAGGCATTTTATTAGCAATCTGGCCAAATTCAGTTGACATAGACTAATTTATTTTTAAGCAACAAAATTGCACAGATACCTTAGGGCAGACATGTCAAACTTGCGACGTCACGTGACATCATGCTACTTATCGGAGCTTTTTCCCCATTGCCGGCAATAGGGTGGGCGCGGTTTCCTCGTGACGCATCCGGCCCGTGGGCCGGCAGTTTGACACCCCTGCCTTAGGGGAACAATAAAACCTCTGCCTTTTGATACCAAACCAGATGATTTATACAGATGTTAGAATGTGAGACTTCCAACAAAATGAACTCATTCATATTCAGCTATGTCATTCACTGAATGGCCCATTACCTGCCCCTTGTTCAACCTAATTTATTTTATGGGATTGTGAGAATAAAATGGAGGACTATTGGCTTATTGTAACTCCTCATAAGAAGAGAGGAATAAAATTAATTTCAATTATCTGCTAATTGTACCATTTCCTTGATGACAATTATCTGTGGTCTGGTCACCATTCCCACCCAGACTATTATAAAGCATTCTACATAGGGTTAGCCTTTCAAACAGGCTGCAGCCCGGTAGTGGGCTGCAGCCCAGGTATTGGGAACCCCTGGTTTATTGTTTTAGTTATTTCAGATGTTTTATCATTCTGATTTTATTGTACAGTGCCCAGAATCACATTTGAGATATGGGCGGCTATACAAATTTGATAAAAGCCTAATTCTTTTATTGTAACATAAGGTTTTATGAATTGGTAATATAGGTTTTACTCTTATGAAATTAAATCCTAAAATAAATGTTAGATTTTAGGTCTGTGTAGCATTTTTTATTCAATTTCAAAGACATGTGGGAGCAGAAATACAGCACTTCTTCAGCTTTTTAAAGCAGCTGCATCTTTTGGAATCAAATTTGAAGCATCCCATAGCCCTATTATACTTTAGGCTATTTTAGTATCTTTTGCCTCTGTCAAACAGAATTTTATCCCACCTTTATTATTTTGATAAATAACTCAAGGCAGCAAACATACATACGGTAATACTCCTTCCTCATTCTATTTTCCTAACAACTCTGTGAGGGGGGATTGTGTTCAGAGAGTGACTGGCCCAAGTCCACACAGTCGGCTTTTATACCTAAAGTGGGACAAGAAATCAGTCTCCTGGTTTCTAGGGCAGCACATTAACCACTACACCAAACTGTAAAACAGTTTGAGAAGTATAATAATCCCTGTGAATAGGTTTCATGCAGTGGAATATGCACTATTGTATATGAATTGCTGACTCAGAAAGTTTGAAGAGTGGGGTCCACTGTCTTACACTTTGAAATAATAGTGGAGCTCCAGTGTTCAATCCAGTGTTTATGTATAACAGCTTATGGTCAATATGATAAATTCTGACTAATTTCTAATACCTGCATCTGAGGGTAGCACTGTGAGAGGAACATCTTTAGTTTCAATTTTGACTGAAGGCTCCAACAAGGACTGCATTTTAAGGGGTACTTGTGTCACTGGCACTTTAGTCACTCTTATAAGTTCAGATGGAGGTGGTCCCTGAAACTGGATCCTAGCCCCTGGAGGGACTGGATGGAGTGTAACAGGAATCTTCAGTTCTTGAGAATGCTGTGTTCCCAGAGATTGAGACAAACTAACATCCTTACTAATGTGAGCCGGACCACTGGAAGATGGTTGAGGCTTGGATGCCACCTCTTCCCTCCCCTTGCAATCCTCCTCAGGAGGTTCTACCAGTTCAGTTTTGATGGCCCCTTCTTTTGCAGATCCCAAGACTTCGGCATCACAGTTTTCTTTCATCTTTGCCTCTTTCTTGATTTCCTCCAGCTCTTCAACTTTCCCCAGTTTGACTTCCCCTACACATTTCACACTGCTGCTACTTTCATCTTTGCCGTTGAGATGGTTTATAAGAGTTTTAGGCTCTCGTCTTTTTTTCTTATTGCTACTTCCCATAAGGAGCAATGGGTTCTCTGGCTCACGCTCCTCTGCTTTCACTTGTAACCCTTTCTGGTGCCCATTTTCTTCCTCCTCTTCTTGCTTTTCAGAGACTCCAGTTTCCGTCCCAAAGACAGGCTGGGAAAGCTGCCTGCCAAGACAAATCTGCTCTTCCAAAATATGCTGCTGCTCTTTAAGGGCACCCCCTTCCCCAGGCTGTGGAAGTTTCTGTTCCTGGTGCAAAACGCTTTGCTTGGGAGAGAGGGGGTGCAGGAGATGGTGCTGGGGAGCCTGCTTGGGAGGGAACAGCAGAGGGTGGGAGTCCCTGCCCCCCTGGCCTGGCAGAGGGTGCAGGAGAAGATGGTCCATGCAGGGAGTGCTCTGCCTAGCCGTGGAATGCAGGAGCCGGTGCTGCTCTCTTGGGGCTTCCTCCTGCGCCCCTTTTTCCATGCTGCAGCCCGGCCTTGATAGTGGGATTGTTATGGGATTGTGAGCTCAGCCCGGTCCTCTATTACCGCCCGTTTGTCTGCTGCGGTTGGCTTGCAAACGTTCTCCGCTCCCCCTCCCCCCCCCAACTCCAAGGTGCACGCGCCGCACTCGACCCCGCCCTCTGGCTCGCCAGGGCCTCGCGCCTTCCGCTCGTCGGGCCAGAAATGGCAATTTGTGGGGCTCCACGTGCCTCCCACTTTTCCCTCCTTGGACTGTTGCCTGGAGGTTGCCATGGCTACCCTGGACGCCACGTAACAATGAGGTCGCCTTGGAGACCGAGGGAGGAACAGGCGCACGGACCCTACGTCGATGGCGCCGCTTTTTTGCGGAGGGATGAGTTTGGGCCTCGCACTCTCTCGCCGTTGAGCGGAAGGTGGTTTGCGCATCTGCTCCTCTCTCCTCACCCCACCGAGCCATCACAAGTCTACGCACATGGAGGGGTGGGAGGATGAGGGGACTCGCGATCCGAGAAGGCGGGGCTCAGCCGCAGGTCTTGACTCGGACGCCTCTACGTAGGCCTGGAAGAGGCAGAGGGCCGGTAGTGATTCCGGAGGATCTTACGGTATCATAGAGAGGCAGCATTAGAGTTCGTCTCTTCCGGTGTCGCCCAGCGCTCCTTCCGGCAATGCTGCCGCAGCCTCGGCTTGGCGGCGCCTTCGCTGCCATCGCTTTGGGCCTCAGATCGAGATTTCGTTGTTATGTCCGAGCCGCTATGGCGAAGAGCAAGTTCGAATACGTCCGGGCTTTCGAAGCGGAGGATAAATGTTTGCCCAACTGCTGGATCGTGGTACGGTTGGACGGACGCTGCTTCCACCGGTAAAGACACGCTTCAACCATTGGCGGCAGCGTGTGGATTTAACAGGCTTGGTTGCCCGGCGACCGGCCAACCAATAGGAATGAGAGTCAGCGCCGGGATCTTGCTCAGGCCTCGGCGGCGCCGGTTCAAAGTGAAATCTGCTTCCCTGACTTCACTTTAGGATACCGTTTCCCAGCCACCGGCAGCCACTAGATATTGGACTTTTGTTCCCAGAATTCATCAGTTCATACGGGGCATTGCTGGGGATTCTGGGAATTGAAGTTCACACGTTTGAAAGTGGCCACGTTTAGTGAATACTGCGAATTTGGGGGTACTGTGCGCTTGCGTGTATGTTTAATACCATACATAACTGATCTTTGATATTAGGAGGGCTTTATTGGATATAGTAGCATGAGTCAAATCTTAACAAATATTCTTTTCTTTTAATTACATTTGTAATTTTGGGGAAGAATCGTTTCTCTAGTTCCTTGCTCAGGTCAAAACATCAGATGCCATTATCCAGAAGTGAAAAGCATATTAGCGTCCAAGGTGAAAGCATTGAATGCTATTGACTTATTGCAAAGAGTGCAAAGCTATCTTATATTGGGGTAAATAGTCTGCACATGAGTAGTTAGAATTTTAAAGTTTTACTTTCCTAATAATAGTTTCTCCCTTTCTAACTGATATATCTTATTAGCAAAACACTACTCTTTCTAAAATGGCATTGGTTTAGCTTTTTAATGATTATCTTCTAACATTTTGTAATGACGATAAAACAGGTTATGTAAAATTAGATGGATCGCAGCTTAATGTTTTTCATATTGTATTCTATTATTATTTGGAAGAACTATCAATGGTGTATTAAAAAATAAAACAGTATATTGCATTTGTACAGATGGCATGCATTCGTCATGCTCCAAATGTTCTCTGGACAAATTCTGATTTTACTAGTTTCCAGGAGTTGGATGTTGAATGTTGACATGATCAAGAGGAGGTGTGTTTATAATATAGAGGCTTCAATTGAAAAACATTGTCTTCAAGCACCTGCTCTTTTAACTTCTTAAGCATGGTGGACAATTGACAGAAATGTCAGAGAGCATACACCAAATGTGTTAATTCCAGATGGAAAAGAAAATCATGAAGGTACCTAGAAGCCAAAGCATATAGGGCTTTACGAGTGAAACTCAGCACCTTGAATTGCACTCAGAAACCTATGTGCAACCAATGCAGAATCTACAGTGTAAGTGTTACATGGCTGTCATGATTTTCATTTTCAAGCAAGTAGGGTACTACACTTTGCACCAATTTCAGGTTACTTTCAAAAGCAGCCCCATGTAAAACACATTGCAATGACTGTTACTGAGGTCTGTTGTTCCCAGATAGGGCTGCAATTAAGTGGGCAAAGCCCCTATCATAGCCTCTACCAAAACTTCAGTATCTGTAACACAGGATAATTATTTAAACAGATATGATAAATCAAGTATTTTTAATTAATGCTTTAATTGATGCCTAATTAATTTTTCATTTTGAAGCTTTGCTGAGCAGCATGATTTTAAGAAACCTAATGATGATTGTGCTCTTAATTTGATGAACAAGTGCGCCCAAACAGTGATGGAAGAGATGGAGGAAATTGTCCTTGCCTATGGACAAAGTGATGAATACAGCTTTGTTTTCAAAAAGAAAACCAACTTGTTTAAGAGAAGGGCAAGGTAGTTCTTTTTACAGTTTCTTCCCCCTCCCAAAATGGGTTAAGACACTCCAGAATAAGCTTTAATATAACAATTTGATTACTTTTGATTTTATGATACTAGCAGCTTTCCCATATATATCCATTCTTAGAAACATCAATATATGTAGTGAGGAAGAGACACATACACAAACACACACAGGTATCTTTGCATGTGTATACTAGCATTTGATGGATGTGACCATTAAATGTTACTGTCAAGGTATTTTTAACTTTCATTCCCATATTTCACTTTTAAAAGTGGTTTAACTGTATGAAATCTTCCAAAAATAGATGATGGCCTCATTATATGCCTATTTATTTCATATTCTTGTTTAATAAACTGCAAAATAGTTTAACATTAGTACTTCAATTGCACAGAGATTTTGCAATATTGGATTATAGTTTATTTAGTACATGAAGGTCTTACAGCAATATGAGCTGCTGTGTGACTTTCAGTCTGTGAGTGAAGCCTTGTGGTATACCAAACATTATTTTTGAAGCACTTTATTTGACAACAAATTGTACAATTCATTTATAGTAAAATGTAGAAAGATATTAAATCAGTTTAATATGACAGACTAAAAGACATTTTAAAAGATGCTTTATATATAATTCATAAATAAGAGTTGCATTTTACAGTTATGAGAAGTTAACTGTGATAGAATCATAGATACTGACAGTCAATACTGCCTAACATAAAATATATACATGACAAAATTAAACATGTTGGATTTTGACTTTATACTTAGCATATACTTTGAGATAACTAGAGCTAGTCATTACTCTTTGTAGTGAAATCTTATATATTATGCTGCCAACATTTTGGATTCATAAACTATGAGAATAAGTTATAAAGCTATAAAGTTATAAAAAGAATCCCGAAAATCGAGAACAAGGGACACATTTTTGCATTTATATAGACTAGTTAACTCTTGGGTTGGTTATATTAAAAAGTTATATTTTCTCTTCCTTTTTTTCTGTTCACAAGTAAATTAATGACTCTTGTGGTCGCCAAGTTTGCATCCAGCTATGTTTTCTATTGGAAGGATTATTTTAAGGACAAGCCCCTCTTGTATCCACCAGGATTTGATGGACGTGTTGTGTTGTATCCTAGTGACCAAAATCTAAAAGATTATCTCAGTTGGCGACAAGCTGATTGTAAGTATTGCAGGAGATGGAGGTTGTAGAATGGTAATTTTTAAGAATAGATATTTAATCTCTTTTTCTGCTTTAAAAAAAACATTAAAGGTACCTGATTTTATTCATTTGAGTTATCAACTTTTATCATCACAACTTTAGAGGTGGAAAGTAGCGGGAGGAGGGGTGTCTCTTACAGTACTCAAGTATTTTCTCAAAATTGTATTCTTACTTAGAAATATTTTCCACAACAAAAATGGAGCTGTGCTATAATCAATTACTCTATGAAATATGATTCAGATGCTGCCTTATTATTCAGGTCAACAAGTGCAAAAATATTAATATTGATGGACATTCAAGAGTATCAGTGATGTCTTCTATTTCCCTCCATTGCATCTAGCAATTTATGAGATGCCTTTTCCAAAAATTTCTAGTTATTGAATCCTTACCCTAGATGGCTTGCCCTATAAATTGAAGAAAGTAAAAAAAACAAAAAACTCTGCACAATGTAGGAATTTATTATAAAAATACATTTTAAGAAACTGTGATGCTATTGTTTAAATTGTAATAATTATAATACCATTTCTGAAACCAATCTTATAGTACGGTAAATATTGCTGTGAAGATGAAATTTAATACACTTTCCATTCTTCTCTAATGATTATTATTTCACTTGGTATCACTATAGGTCATATCAATAACCTCTATAATACGGTATTTTGGACTCTTGTGCAGAAAGGTGGCCTGACACCAGTACAAGCCCAAGAGAGACTTAAGGTTTGAAACATTATTCCAAATATTTCAGCCTAAAGAGTACATTGTACCTAGCTTGTGTTATTTCCGGAAGCATATATAACATTCGAAGTATTTTTAATATTGGAACAGATGTATTTGTGCATTTGTGTTATATTCCAAGTTTTATTTTATATTTGCTGTTTTTGCTGGAATGCTTGTCTACATGGATTGGATTTGGTTTCTGGTAGGAAGGTTAAGCCTACAAAGAACTGGCTACTATTTAGAAAAGATGTAAGTATAGCAACTGATCAACTTCAGATAAAACAGAAAATAAAAAAGAAAAACACTTAATTTATTTATTTAGTGTATGGCATATGATACATGGACTAGCAATATAAATTAACATTAAATTAAATTAATTAGATTAAAAGAAAAAGACTAAAAAGTTCCCTTTTTCCTCTGGCTAATGCTATCTGGCAGGACTTAAAAATAGTAATTGTTTGCCGGGGAATCATCTACCTTAGGATTTGTTTTCTAAATTATTATTTGGTTTAGTGATTAAGGCACCAGTCTAGAAAGCAGGAAACCATGAGTTCAACTCCTGCCTTGGAAAGCCAGCTAGATGACCTTGGGCCAATTACTCTCTCTCTCAGCCCAACCCACCTCACAAGGTGGTTGTTGTGGGGAAAGGAGGAGGAGGAAGGTGTGTTGGATATGTTTGCCACATTGGGTTATTTGTAAAATAAAAGAAGGAAATAGATAGATAGATAGATTAGATAGATAGATAGATAGATAGATAGATAGATAGATAGATAGATAGATAGATAGATAGATAGATGAAAGAAAAAGAAAAAGAAGAAAAAGTTGCAGGAAAACAATGACACAAAGCTCAATTCCTCTAGAAAAACAAAGCTGTAATTTGATTCATTTTTCTTTTGACTTTTCTAATTTTTAAGACCTTAAAATTTTAGAAGAAATGTTGTATATGTACTACATACTTTTCATTGCTCATCTTTAGCTCCTATCATTCAGGAAGCTTTGATTACTTATCAATCTTAGTTTCCTAAATTTCATTTCCCATGTGCAAATGTTAGTGGGATGTAGCCTAGATTAGACCCTTGAATGGGATCATTCATCCATGTGTTATAGATAATCTTGGCAAGGTGATCAAAAAATATTATTTTGCCAGATATTTTCTTTGCCATCATTGTACCTTTATGCACAAGCATATTCACGGACAATTCTTTTTCTCTTCATAATATCAGGTTTGGATATGAAAGGGGGATCTGGTAACTTGATTGTGTAATGGTGAACTATGTGAGTGTTTCAAGAGTGCAACAGCCCAAAGATTCCCAGTCTACCTTTCAGCCATAGAGTTAGGGAAATATAGTGATTTCTCTGTGTGCTACTGGAGATTTTAACTAAGGACTCTGGCCATGTTATGTTTATCAGAATTACAAGTAAATGAAAATATTGACTTCTAGATCAGGGCAAGAAAATAATAGATGTCATAGTGACATAAGTATACATAGCTATTAAGAGAAGATGGGGACACGTTACATTTTTTTGCTGCTTGGCAAATAATATTCTCTCCCAATTGCACCTTTTAGGTCTAAACCAGGGGTGTCAAACTGCCAGCCCACAGGCCGGTTGCATCATACGGAGGCCGCGCCCACCCCAGCTCCGGCAATGCAAAAAAAGTCACATCGCGATGTGATGCGGCAAGTTTGACACCCATGGTCTAAACAGTTTATAAGCTAAGAATAAATGTTTCCATATGCACTAAACCCTTGAGTCCACAGAAGAAACAGATAGACTGAAATTGCTGGTTTTGTAAATGTTTATGGAATAAAAATATTAATTTTTTAAATACTAAATTTGCCTTCTCCAATCTGGCACCCTTTTGATGTGTTAGATCTCATTATATGTATATGTATGCAATCATGGAATTCTGATATAGTATCAACATGTTTGGAGGCCACCAAATTGGGAGAAATGTATATTACGTTATTCACCAACTTTTTGCCTGCTAATAATAATGATGGATGGGATCTTAGTAACTGTTAAAGAATGAGTTTTTAAGCTCTACCAGTTAGTATCTATATGCTTCCTTATAGATAATATATGCTTCCTTATTTTCTTTCTGGGGAGAATGTGTATTTAGAAATGTGGTGATTTCCTTTTTGTTCAAATACTCCTAAATTAGGGGTCCCCAAACCCCCGGTCCATGGACAGATACTGGGCCGTGGCATGCCAGCAATCGGTCTGCACAAACAAGCAAAGCCCCATCTGCAAGATGCAGGCAGCACACAAAACCACGCCACCTCCGGTCCGCAGAAAAATCTCTCTCCACAGAACCAGTTCCTGGTGCCCAAAAGGTTGGGGGCCTCTGCCCTAAATAAAGAGCAATGTCCATTTATTACATTTGAAATTATTACAGTTCTCCTAGGTTCATATGAAGTGTTGTTTTTTTTTCTTTTAGGGAACCCTTGCAAATGACAAGAATGAGATTTTATTTTCAGAATTCAACATTAACTACAACAAAGAACCTGAAATATATAAGAAAGGAACTATTTTAATATGGAAGAAGGTAAGTCATACTCTTGTTTGTTTTTAAAATGATAGCAGGCATATTTTAAATAAGTAATTATACAAAATATTTTAAGATAATATAGTGGGTTTTTTTTACAAAGTCCATCTGTGCTGAATTACCAGAGACATCTGTCTCACCAGTTGATCATGCTTTTGTATGATGAAGTTACTGCAGAATTATTCCTGTATTAGACAACCAGAAGCGTTGTCATTGTCATCAGCCATTCAGTTGTGTCCGACCCTAGGCCACTCTATGGATCAGCACTCCCCATGCTCCTCTGTCTTGCACTGACTCCTTCAGGTCCGCCATGGTCATCCCAGGGACATCCATTATAGTGTCCAGCCAGCAGATACTAAGGACCAGAAGCAAAATAGTGGTAATTCCGGTTTGAGGTTTAGTTAAAACTGGATCTTCACATATTAACTATCCCTGCTATTGAAGGTAGAAACGTTTGAAGGTAGAAACGTATGAAGTCTCTATGCAGATATCTGTCTAGACATAAAACCAAATCATGTACTTACCTCTACTGTTGAATCCTTTCAAAAATAGTTGTAAAGTAGAACACTGTATTAAGTTGAATCTACCCAAAATAATAGGCATTGCATTTCACTAAATATCACTTTAGTCTTTAGTGAAATAAAGTTTAAAAAAAGAGCCAGACTTTATCAGTGTAGTAGCACTGAACCTTTACACTGGAGTACGCACCATTATGCTGTTCATATTTTGTGATATTGTACCCTGGGTCATTAAGTGGAGTGAGATTGCTGCCTGCTGAGGTTAGCTCTTCTCTACGTGTGGAAGAGAACTGCTCCAAGTGAGCTGCAGAAACAGAGCTGGATCTTTGGGATCTGATGTCCATTTTCTCCATCCCACTGGAGGTGTTTGTTTCCCCTCCAGGTATGAAAGAGAATTGCTTTGTTGGCTGCAGAAATGAGGCTCATATCTTTGGGATCTGACTTCCTTTTCTGCAGCTCTTCAGAGGATTTCTCCTCCTCTCTGCATGGAGAGGAATGCCTGGGCTACTGAAACAGAGCTCACATGGGGTCTGATCTCCATTAGTGCTCCCCTTTGGAGGAGTTCCCCTCCCTTCCATATGCCAGAGGACTGGGAAAGTTCCAAGTACCTATTTGTCTTCAATCAACTCTTCCTGTTTGACATAGCATCCAGTTAGTCCTTGACTCGCGACCACAGTTGAGCCCAAAATTTCTGTTGCAAACTGAGACAGTTGTTAAGTGAATTTTCCCCCTTTATATGACATTTTTGCCACAGTTGTTAAGTGAATCACTGCAGTTGGTAAATTAGTAACGCGGTTGTTAAGTGAATCTGGCTTCCCCATTGACTTTGCTTGTCAGAAGGTTGCCAAAGTCACATGACCCTGGACACTGCAACCGTCCTGAGTCGGTTACCAAGCATCTGAATTTTGATCACGTGACCACAGGGATGTACTTAAGTGTGAAAAACGGTCATAAGTCACTTTTTTCAGTGCCATTGTAAGTTCAAACGGTCATTTAATGAACTGTTGTTGAGGACTACCTATACAACATGATTCAGGAAAATGATATCTACAGTTCCAATTACAGATAGCCCTCAGCTTATGTCCACTTGTTCAGTAAGCATTCTGTTACTATAGTGCTAAAAATATGGGCATGCAACCAGTCCTGAAATTTCATCTATGCCATGCCCCCATGCCACGTGATTATGATCCAGGCATTTAAGTGTCTGGCTCATGATTATGTTGCTGGGAGCTGCAGTCATATGATTGCCATTTTTGACTTTTCCTGTTAGCTTACAACAAGCAAAGACAATGAGGAACCTGGCAGGGAAGGTCACAAATTGCTCCGGCCCACAGCACCACACCTTACAGTCTCCAGCACCTCTTCCAGGCACTACTCTGTCTTGTGTGGCCTGCACTGGGCCTCCCAAGCCCTCCCCCGTCTCATATGTAACCTGTGCTGGGCTTCCCTGATCCTCCCATACATCTCAGAGCTCCTTACCTGGTACTCCCACCACTTAACAACCCACATATCTTGGGGTTATGACAGCAACTAGGACTGCTAGGATTGCCCTCATTAAGTAATTCAGTCACACATCGTGCTTTACAATTGATTGCTTAGAATGGCAATCCTGGTCCCAATAGCCATCATAATTCTAGGACTATCTGTACTATTAGCTAAAGCTTATCTGGCCTCTGGTGAAAGATGGGAATTTAATTATGGAACACAGGACACTTGATTCCCCAGCCCTGCATATGGATCTGAATACTGTGTTGAAGTGTGTATAGTATGTGAATTAGATTTTGCTAAGTACTAAGTCATGGTATGGCTTCTTGCATTCCCCAAATCAAAAGCAAGCAAAACTTATTTTATGTCTTCTTGAAAACCAAGGAATGATTTTTTTGGTCACAAGACTCTCTTTTTTTTCTGCCCTATATTCTGCAGCCAGGGGCTATAAGGTAAAACTATAATAACACCTGGCATCTTGGCATTCAAGATGTGATTCTTTTACTTTCATAGGAATTAATTCAGTAGAACATGTTAAGGTTTTCTGAAGATTTAACACATTTTTATTTCCTTCTGCCCCTATTAAACATTATGTCATTAATGGTTTGATGTCAGATTTGGGCAGCGTGGTTTTGGGAATGAGGCAATTCCTTGAAAACTGCAAGACAAGGTGTGTGTGTGTGTGTGTGTTTGCGTGCGTGTCAAAATATTGAAAAAGTCATTCTCTTCTGGATGAAGTAGAATGAGTATGCTTTGAAGATGAAGTCTGCCATTTTACAATGATAGTCTAACACATGGAAGTGATGCTTCACTTTAGTACATTAAACCCTGCAACTCTAAAAGAATTAAATTCTGAATAGATTTTGAAAAGTTCAATTATTAATATATTATTTGTATTTTTATTCCTAGGTAGATGAAATCATTAAGAAAAAAATTAAAACAGAGGAAACAGAAGAGAAGGAAATTGAAGAAACCAGGACAAAAAATAGACCAGTTCCTTTGCATTGTGATATTATTGGAAATGAATTTTGGAAACACAATCCTGAAATCCTGCTTGATAAGAGGCTTTAGTCTGAACCTATTGGGTATAATTTATTTTATAAGGACTGCATCATGGTGGAAAAAATGTATTTTGTACTTTGTAATAGCCGTTTTACTTCAGTGAATGAATGAAAAATCCAGGTATTGTTCATAAATAAATACTTTTTTATTAAAATTACGAGTAGGCTGATAACAATCTTAAACTTTACACTGGAAAAGGAATGCTTTTAATTTCTTCTCCGGCCCTCAAAAGGACTCTACTGCTGGAGGTCTCATGAGATGGTAAGTTGCCCATTTAAAACTCTGAAAACATTTAAACTACTCCTTCAAATTAAATTCTATCATCAGGGAGCCAAGTTACAAATTATCCTAGTTGCTAATGTCTCTGGATTATATGAGTGATAAACAAAATACCCTGGTAAGTAGCAGAAAGTAATTAGGAAGTTTTCTCTCAAGTGTAAATTAGTTCCGGCCTTTTTGAAAGCTATGGAAACATAATTTCCCTCTGTAATCGAACATTTATTATTTGGACTCTCTCCTTGCTGCTTTTCGGATTATTAGCCAAGGTCTCAGGTGGCCAACCAAGAGCAATAACGTTATTGTATAAGGGAGATAGCGCAGCAGGGTGTGTTTGTAGGTCATGCTCTCATTTTGCTGCTGCCTGGGAAACTATCCAGTTCCTGCTGTTGAGAATTGTGGCAACCAACTTACTGAAAGTCTTGAATTGGGATGTGAAGTTCAAAGAGTTGTGTTACTCTTCTGCTTTTTTGAAGGCCAAGCTGCCCAGGAGTAAAAAAGATAGAGGCATTGGGAGCAAATGTGAGATTGGTGTAAAAATTTGCCTGGCTTCTAGTGGCTAGGTTTTTATATAGAACATTTTAAGGGGATGTTTAATTGTTTGTTTTTATCTGTTAATTTGCTGTAAAAGGAAAATATTTGGAATGATAGGCATTTAGCATCATTTTAAAGCCGTTTGAAAAAATTGTACTCATTTTTTCCTGAAATGGCAAGGTGTCTTCATTACTGTAGTTAAGATAACATTAAACAGGTAAAAAAGAAACTGGAGCAATGTGCATTCCAAAAATGGTGCATGCTTGTACCTGTGTCAGCAATCCACAATACTTGTAGTGAAGTTAATAGGAATAATAGGCAAAAGTATCTACTGTATGCAAGGTGCATTTTTGTATTCCTGCTTTCCATAAGGTGTTCCAAGTTATTACCAGCAACAATAAAAAAGCAGCTGTGTTTTCATAACACACTGAAGCAAAAACAAGCTGGCCACTTGTTAATCTAGTGCAGTGATGGCGAACCTTTTAGAGTGCCCAAACTGCAACCCAAAACCCACTTATGTATCACCGGGTGCCAGGTGGGTGTGGCTATGGTGGTCATGGCCGACTGGGTGAGCGTGGCCACCTCGATGTTGCTCCTGGGATGCCTGTGGGGGCCATGCAGGGTTGGGGGAGATCCAGGGGGGTCTCTGGCGGGTGGTGCGGTGGGCAGGAGGCTCGTCCTGTAGGGTGAGACGAGGTGAGGGAGGGGGCAGGGAGGGGGTGCCACTGCCGCAAGGCAAGGCGAGGCAGGGGCTGGTTGCAGACAAAGGGGGGCTCTGGTGAGGAGGAGAAGGAAGAGGGTTTAAGCAAGCTTAGCAATGAGTGGGGATCCCCTCCAAAACAAACATGCTTCGTGGGTAACCTCGCAGCACGACAGAAGAGACCAAAACCTGCTGCAACCACCCACCAGATGAAAGCGGAATAAAAACCAAACAGCCCCCCCCCCAAATCCTCAACAGAAATGCTCATGACAATGAAAGCCTCGGGCAGGGGGAAGAGTGCGGGCAGGTGGGCATCTTGCTCAACTGATGGCTTGGGGGGGAAGGGGGCAGCTATACCCCCTCCCAAATGCTGCCCTCTCATGAAAGCAGAATGAAAACTCCAAAAAGCAACAAGGAAAAAAAAGTTAAAACAGAAGAGTGTCTCAGAACACCTGTATTAGCAGATGCAACTGATATAAAATCTGGATGAAGAATGGTCAGTAAGGCATTCTTGGTTGTCTGTTTTATCTTTCCTAATCAACTGTAACTAACTTCCTCTCTTCACTTTGCAAAACCTGTAGGTCCCACACCATTCCACACACCTGCAAGAAAGCAGCTGCAATCGGAGTACTCTAACTGTAACTTTGAAATGTGGCACCACTGATTTAACTGCTGTCACACTACAAGTACAGTTGGAATTTACAGTACTGGTTTATCCAGCATGTGTTATTTATTTTATCTTTCTTCTTATACAAAACTACATCTTCTATACACAGAATGGAGAGTTATTGTTGGTTTCTTATCCAGTTTTAGTTTCCCTCTTCATCTGATTGGCCACTGGAATAAATATTCACAAAAAAATCATCCTTCTTAGTTTATTTAATGCTCACACTCTTGCACAATCACTTACTTCCTTGTTAACAGCTGATTGAATCACAACTTTGGACCCAACCTCTGAACATTCTAGGAATCAGTGTATCATATTATTTTCAGTAAATCTGGCCTAGCGTCTCCACTATTTTGGTTCCTACTGGACAATTCAACCAGTCCTTAAGGTGTCCTTATCACTGTCAGCAGATGGCCTTCTTTCCTAAATGAATTAAAATGACCTTTAATAAATGTATAGCTCTGCAACTCTAAAAAATATCTACTGGCCTTTACTAATCACGTGAAGTATTAATACCACGTTACAATGCCTTAGTAAGGCCACACTTGGAATACTGCATCCAGTTTTGGTCAGCACGATGTAAAAAAGATGCTGAGACTCTAGAAAGAGTACAGAGAAGAGCAACAAAGATGATTAGGGGACTGGAGGCTAAAACATAAGGAACGGTTGCTGGAATTGGGTATGTCTAGTTTAATGAAGAGAAGGACAAGGGGGGACATGATAGCAGTGTTCCAATATCTCAGGGGCTGCCACAAAGAAGAGGGAGTCAAGCTATCTTCCAAGGCGCCTGAAGGCAGGACGAGAAGCAATGGGTGGAAACTGATCAAGGAGAGAAGCAACCTAGAACTAAGGAGAAACTTCCTGACAGTTAGAACAATTAACCAATGGAACNTTTTTTTTTTTATTATTATTATTATTATTATACATACATGCAAATGCTTCATACAAGATCAATGGCATACTAACATACAATTATTTTCCATTGCTTCATAGAATTGCATGAAACAAGAAAACAAACTGAAAAAACAAATGTAATAATTGATATTTAACCAGGCTATTTTAACTACTGCACTTAAAGAGATCTTTGTCCAGCTCAAGTACTACTCACTACCCATGCAAGAGTTTGACAGCATTATCAAAATACTTGGACATTGCTGTTATCCACTTCCTCCCCCCCCCCCCCCCCCCCCCCCCCCCCTAATCTAGCTACGCTACTTGGGCAGCAAACGATCCGGAAAATATTAGATGGCAGCAAAGAACCTTAGAAAACTGCCGTCTAGTGACCATTTGGTGCAATGCAGCCCAGCCATGACTGCTTAAGCCAACAGTCCTGAAATACCTCAACCAAACACTAACCAGGCCAGAATCTACTTCGCATCCAAGAAGTATAGCCTGGATTATCTTTGATTGTTCCACTGCACCCGGTGCTCAGCAGATGTTGTTATAGCGTAGCCCTACTTTGTTTCTACTATGATTTAGTGAATAAACTCAGTGGCTGGGCTCACAAAAGACAAACTCAAACGCAAACCAGTCACGGTCTGAACCCTTCCCAGCCCGCGCGGCCAAGTGTCGAGCAGTCCGCAGCCTCAGGAAGGGAATGCAAAGAGCGCAGTAACGTCTTGAGAACCGAGAGTTCCGCCATCCGTTCCTCAGATGAACGAAGGCGGACAGTGGTCCTCCTTCCAGGCGACCCCCCCCCCCACCTCAAAAGCAGCCGGCCGAGCCAAAGCCAAGGGCGGCCTTTCGGGGGACCGTCTCCGCGGGCGAGCGGACGGGAACGCAGTTCTCGCCGGCCTGCCGAGAGCATCAAGAGGCGCCGGGAAAGGCGGGAAGGGACCTGCCGTGCAATCGCGGAGCTGGGGCGGCCCATAGCGGCGAAGGAGCGCGCTGCGGGCGGTTGGCTCTTCCTGCCCCTCCCAGCAGGGCCGGGGCCAGGGCAAGAGCGGGAGAGAGACATGGAGGAGGAGGCGGAGAAGGCCGGGGCTGAGCCCAGGCGGCGGAGGAGCCGGCGCCACTCTAGCGGGCGTCGCAGCTCGGAGCGATCGCCGAGTCCCGGCCGGCTGGACGTGAGCTCGCCGCACTTCGACCCGCTGCTGGCGCTGTACTCGGAGCGCACCCCGTTGCCTTACCCGGCCGCGCCCTGCTTCAACAATCTGGCCGAGTACGAGAGCTTCCAGCGCGGCCTGCTCCGCGCCCCGGGTCGCCCGCGTGCAGCCGCTGGCCGCAGCAGCCGCTCCGCCGGGACGCGTGCTCGGAGCCGGGCCGGCCGGGCCGCCGCCGACCCCGAACGCCTACAGCGGCTCCGCAACCTCATGCTGGTCAAGGAGCCCAGGCCGGAAGCGGCGGAGAGAGCGAGGGCGCGGGGCAGGAGGGCGCCGCGCAACGTTCTCACCAAGATGCCCCGTAAGCTGAGCGGCGTTTAGCGCAACGTCTCCTTTCAGACGAAATGCCACGATTCCTCACCCCCCCCCTCCACCCCAAATGTCTGCCCGAAGGGCACGCACTCTGCTCGTGTCAGAGTCTGGTTATTGGCAAGCAGTTCGGGGGTTGGGTGCCGCATGTGAGATCTGGCAGTCCCCGCAGTTTGTGCATATGGACGAGCTGTGAAGTCTAGAATATACAGCTGCATGTTGGCTTTGATCCGGGTCTGCGTCTGGGCATTGGGCACAGATAGGCACGAATGTAAAACCCCAATGGGTGCACAACAAGCTTGTCTAAAGAGAGAGGGTTTTCTAAAAATAATATTTTACGTTCCCCAAAACCGTTTTTTTAAACAGTTCTCGTCATCCTATTTTCCAGCTGTAATTGATTTAAGTTAAGAGTAGGTGCTAAAGAGAGTGAAAAAAGTGAGAATGCAGAACTGTGGGTGATGGCCTATTTTGAAGGTAGGTAGTACGAAAGGAGTCCTGGCAAGCCATTTTGCAGCTAGAGTAAGGGGATGTGTCGCACACCGTACCCATTATAAACTAGCTGCCTACATTTACCTTTAGCATGTTGTGTGAATTGAGCCTACGTGCCTAGTTATTTATTTAGTGTGAATCGACAATATGGGATCAATTATTAAACCATAATTAGGCTGATTTTAAATACTGTATGTGGGTCACAATTAGCCAGCAAATATGATCCAAGGAAACACCTGGTTAAAGAGTTTGAAAATTTGAGGTGTAGTGAGGGAAGGTCCTGGTCGTGGGTGCTTTGATCTTTCAGGAAAGAAAGGCATTGGGGAGTTTGCTTTAGTGATTAAGGCACCAGGCTAGAAACCCAGAAATTGTGAGTTCTAGTTCTGCCTTAGGCATGAAAGTTGGTTGGATGTCTCTGGGCCAATTACTCTCTTTCAGCCCAACCCACCTCATAGGGTTGTAAGGAAAATAAGAGAAGGAAGGAGCATTAGATATATTTGTTGCCTTGAGTCATTTATAAAAAATAATAAAAGCAGGATAAAAATGAATAAAAATACTCAATGTAATCAGATTTTCTGCATTTGTCAATGAAGCATAATGAAAGAAAGATGCCCAGCTATGTTTTGGAGACCAGACTGTTCCATCTTCTGAGGTACAAGAGGTCAGAAGGTCCTTATAGATTCATCCTCTGCTGTAGCAAAGCAGGATTGAATGTGGGCAGTGCCTTGAAGAGAGTGTTTGCGACCCAGTGTAAATGCTATTTGGATAAATAAGAGAAGATGTACATCTATTAAATGAAAAGTTGAGATTACTTTCACCATGGGACCCAGAGCTTTAATAGATTGAATGCCACATTTACTGCACTGCTTGAAAATTGATTAAAGAGATGATCATAATTGGCCATTGATTTTTTTTTTCTGATGGAATAACAATAGGAAGAGGGAGAGAACTGTCCAAGGTATTTTTTTGGGAAAGCACCAAAATATTGCTGACATTATTAAGCATAAGGAATTGAGGTAGAATGGCTTGGAACTATTTCTGGTAATAGAATTATAGTTGGTGGAAAATAAAGAATCTGAAGTTTCTACTGGCTTAGATGCTCTGGATGCTGTTAAGTATTCCTGTTTAGATGAGATTGAGAGTAGCTTCAAGATAAAAGCCCTACTACGGGTCCAGCATGAAGTAAATACAAACTTGCCTGTATTTTCTCCAACATGTGCACACATATCAAATAACTTTCAAAAACACATTTAGAATGTAAGGCATGTATTAACTTTTATTCTGCATTCTAAAAGAATGTTCAAAGGTTGTGCTGAGGAGGTCTGGCTATTAGTAGCTAATACTAACAGCATGCAAGAGATTTTGGATTTTAAACATTTCAAATTTGAAATAATATCTTAAGTTCAAGATAGTTATTCTAATCTTACTTGAAAGTGTTCTTATGTTGTACTGATCATTCTGTAAGGTTTTAAAATTATCCTGTCCAGTATAATTCAAAATGTTTCGCAGCCTCCTAATTGACACAAGTCTATCATTTGCAGGAACTTGCTTTTTTTTCCCCCTTCCAAAGCTTATTCTTTCAGGTTTGAATTAAGATGACTAGACTTGGAGAAAAAGCTGTAAGCAGCATTTTGAAAGCCTAGAACTTGACATTGTCTTTTGCAGTAGTTGTAGCAATAGTTAGGTTGTTATGATCTTTGTTCTTAAGCTTTATTCCAGACTTATAAATATAATGCAGAAGTTATGATAATAGAATAATAGGCAAACCTCTATGTTAATGTCTGTTATTTGTTTTGAGATCATATATTAAATTTTTTCATCACATTCCCATTACTTTCAGTAGTTTCCCAGCTATGATCTGAATGCCTGTACTAGAAGCGAAAAGAGTGGTACAAATGGAATATATCAAACTAATATTTTTAGTTTAGTTTATACACACACACACACACACACACACACACACACATGCTTCCTATCATGAAAAAATATGTAATTACTAGAGATTGGAATTAAATGTCAACCAAATAATTGCAGCTGTCTATCACGTTAGAAGAGAAAGAGGTTAACTTCTTTGGGTTGTGTTTTCCGATTGACGCGAGGTGATAATACAAAAAAAAAAAAAAGGATTTATCATCTACTTCTCATCTGGCTCATAAAGTATAGAAACTTTTAACTCTATTGAGCTCATTTCAATGAATCTTCCAAGGGATTCCAGATTCCAAAAGCCATGGAGGTAGCGTAGTGCAGTGTGGAAATTTGCAGTGAAGTGGCAAAATTACATATTTTTAAGTGTGCCTTAATGACCTTTTGCACTCCTCTCCAACCTGGCCATCCTCCAGATGGGTTGATTTCAACTCATAGACTTCCTCAGTCAGCCTATACTTTGTTGCAAATATTCACAATCTCCTAAAACCACAGTACAAGATGTATCTAGGTAGTGGAAGGATGTTTAAATAATAGGAAGCTGGGGAAAAAGAAGAATTTTGGACTGGCTTGGAGCATCTGCAGTTTACTATGATTCCTCTCCAAAAGAAAAAGCTGTTGCCAATGGTTAGAAGCATTCCTGGACATTTCCTCCTTCCCAGTATCTTTGTGTGTGTGATATACTTACAGAATCCGTACAAAAAAGAGTAAGTCTAGGACTGCAAACTCTATACTAGATAATTCAGTATTCTTTTAACGCTAACATGATCCTTTTATGTTATCCAGAGAGATGGCTGCTATATTTATTTGTCACTTATAATAAATTATGAGATATAAAAGACTAATCATTTGCAAGATTAGAATTTAGACTGCATTGATTGTTGTTTGGTTACTGACATGATTATCAACCAGAAATATTAACTACTGCATAGTGACAAGCTTTTTAATAATCCTTTAGAATTGGGATATTAAGCATACGTACTGTGCTAAAGATCCATTTCACCACTACTGCATATCCATTTACATACCCATAAACTCTGTATGATTAATTATAAGTCTGCAGTGCCTAAAGCCAGAGAAAAATAAATTCCATGACATTAAGAATAACACTCGTTAATGTTTGGAGAAGTATTATACAGTATTTGGTTAAATGATTCTCACGGAATAAAAATGTGCTATTCTTTTTGTTTTAGAGGGGTGTAAAATCAAAGAACCGTGTCAGTTAATGCTTAATAAGAAGGTAGATGGAACATTTGGGAATTTTCAAATGTACAGTTCTGAATAATACAAGGCAAAATTGCCCTGCACGTATTCTCTCTTATGCCTTGTGGGCAGAAGTATAATTCAAATAATACTAGCAATAATAGCTGCAAACTGTTTGTTCTACAGCAAATTATGGTTGTTATCTTTCTTTCCAGTTCATGAAGGCAGTCCACTTGGGGAACTCCACCGCTGTGTCCGTGATGGTGTCAAGGTCAATGTCCACATCCGGACTTTCAAGGGGCTTCGTGGTGTCTGCACTGGATTCTTGGTTGCATTTGACAAGTTCTGGAATATGGTAATCATGGACATTTCCCTTCTGTGCTTTTTTCCTAGCATTTATTTGATAGCTTCAGACCACCCACCCATGTGAATGTAGGTAGGTAGGAGAGCAAGCAGGACTTTGGGGGTGTGGCATTTCCGATGCAAGAAAATGTCAAAAGAATTTGGGCTTTGTGTTTCCTCTTTTAAGTGTACGGAATTACTGTTAAATGTAAATGGGCTTATTCTCATAATGAAATAAAAATTCTGGGTGAGCAAAATGGACATCCGATTGCTTTCATAATATCTCAATCAGACAATGAGAACAAATATCAAATCATTGCTTTATGTTGACATCCTTCTGACTTCTGTCATCTTTCCCCACCATGACTCCAAATTTTATGTTAAGGAGATCCTATATGTTTTAAGTCTTTCTGCCTATTTGCCTTGCCCCAGGCCCTGACTGATGTAGACGAGACGTACCGAAAACCAGTGCTGGGTAAAGCTTTCTATGTGGAGCCACAGTTGACCCTCACCAGAGTAAGTTCCATTCTCCACAATATCACGTATGTTTCAAAAAGATATGGCTCCTTCCTGCCTTCCTTTACCTTATAAAAGTTGGATTACACTGCAAGCAAAGAAGAAGGAAGGTTATTTCTTCTTTTAATAATTGGCAGAGATGTAGCCCAATACAATCATTTGGGAGTTTAAGTGTGTTCAGAGTTTAGCTTCTTGCTCTCCAGTGGTTTGATTCAGTGGCTCTCATTTTATTTTTGTTTGTGTTTATTACTAAATGTTTGTACCAGTCACCAGAAACTCATAATGATTTAAAACCGATTTCTAGATTCGTCAGAGTTACAGTCATCTCCCAATGCTGTAGAAACTAATCTTCGGTCTACTCAAAGAATCAGAATTTACAGAATGTCTGTATAGCAGGACTTGGGAACACAACTGGCTAGCGGAGGCACTGTGGCTTTCTTTACAAGGTTGTGGCCTTCTCACGGACACTTGGGTCTGTTACTGTAGTAGAACACAATGCTGGACTAGATAGGCTTAAGCTTGATCCAATGAGGATGATCTTACATGCTAGTTTTTCTCTTCCATTTTTCTTTATATTCCTTCATCAATACATTTGATCCACATTGAGGATGAAGATTGGCCTAATCACCCAAAGACCACAAAGTTTGGCTTGGCTAACTACCAGATCATTAACCAGGATTGCTCCTAAGCTCATCCTTCCCTAAGAGGGTAAAGTTAGGAAAGGCTGGGCCTTTGATCTTGTTTTGGGCTTTTTGCAGAATACAAATAGCAGCTTGTTTCTATTGACTTCTGCCAAGTGTTAGGAGAAGTAAGAATTGCCACCTGTCCTTTCATTCCAGATGTTCCATGGAGTGGGGGAAAGGAGAGCGTTTCTCATCCTCTCATTGGTCTGTTGTGGGAGCTATCCTAGATAAAAGGCTTTTGAGGCTTTTTATGGCATATTTTTCACTTGCCAAGTGAACCAGCTCTCCTTCCTTTTTCACTGAACTTTATTGCCCTGGAGGAAGTGGATGAGAGTTTCTCTGCTGTTTGAGAGACAGGAAACTAGTAGTGAAAGGATATAAGAATTTAAAAGAACTTGTTGTCATCAAGTTATGGAGAAGACCTAAGATGTTGTGGAGACCTTAAACAGTGGTAGAACTGGTTTAACTACACAACTACAGTGCAGAAGAGTGCATATTTTCTATGTACATAAATACAGATAGGGAAACAAAAAGATGTTTGTGTTTGTGTGTGTGTGTGTATTTGTTCTTAGGCAAGGTTCTTTTTAAAAAAATATTGAACAATCCTTGGTATGGGTTTTCTATTAACTGATTAATGTCTGTTGAAGACTTCATAACAGTTAGTCCTATTGCACATGCATAAAAGAATGCATTTGGGATGTGTGCAATTTGGAAGGATTAGTCTGCTGCTAACCTGCTTGCTACACATTCAAGACATGCTGAAATACAGAGTTCCAAGGACAAAAAAAATATCTTAATGTAAATAGGGGGTCTGTTGAGCAAACTAGGTTTATTATCTTCTCGAGCAGACATGTCAAACTCGCAACATCATGTGATGTCGCGCAGTGTATTGGAGCTTTTTCCCCATTGCCGGCAGTGGGGTAGGCCCGGTTTCCTCATGATGTGTACGGCCCATGGGCCAGCAGTTTGATACCCCTGTTCTAGAGCAATGCTTCTCAACCTTGACAACTTGAAGATGTGTGGACTTCAACTCTCAAAATTCCTCAGGCAGCATACTCTAGAGTAGGGGTGTCAAACTCGCAACGTCACATGATGTGTTGCGATGTATCGTGACTTTTTTGCCATTGCCGGTAATGGGGTGGGCGTGGTTTCGCTATGATGCATCTGGGCCATGGGCCGGCAGTTTGACACCCCTGCTCTAGAGGTAGGCCCACTATTAATACTAATAGTATTCTTTGTTCAGCGGAGCTGTACATATTTTTATCTGCTCGTGTATTATTTCAGCATGTGAATGGCCTTATCCTGAGTGCTCACTAACACCATCCTTGGCAAGCTCTATTTATTAACCATAAATAGTTGATAGATGTTGGAAGCTGGGAGTGAAGATTGAATGTGCGTATAAGTACAAAACAGAAAGTTGTTAAAAACAATCAGGGAATTCACACATGAACCATCCAAAGGAGAAGTCAGTTCCTATCTTTATCTATTCTCTTGGAAATTATGTCTTGTAAAAATCCTAAATGCAGCCCTTGCTTTCACTATATTGATGCAAGTTTTGCTTGCTTTAGGAGGAATATTCTAAGCTCAATCACAGGAGCAGTTGACACAACTTAACATTTATTATCTTATCGGTTGTTTTGATTGAGAAGAGTTGTAGCAGTGATTGTTAACAGGGTATTTGTCCTGTGATAGCCTTTTTACTGCTATGCAGCAATAAGTGAAGGGTGAGCTTGCATCCTTTCTCAGCCATTGCTGATTACAACAAATTGTCATTAGATTTTTCAAGTGTAAATTTATGTACATTACTACCATTGAACATTTAATATTGGCAGTGCACTGGCTACTATGTAAAGTCGAAGTGGTCCCACCTCAGAAGTATTTTAATTCAAATCAGCTGTATCAATGATTTAGCTCCAGGGCATAATAAAATTGTGGCAGATTTTTTACTGTCAGAGCTGCAGTATAGCATGTGTACTTTACGAGAAGTATGTGAATCATGCATAGTCATGTCTATAGAAAATTCAAGGAGCCGTGGTGGCGGAGTGGTTAGAATGTAGTATTGCAGGCTAATTCAGCTCACTGCCAGGAGTTCGATCCTGACTGGCTCAAGGTTGACTCAGCCTTCCATCCTTCCAAGGTTGGTAAAATGAGGACCCAGATTGTTGGGGTCAATATGCTGACTCTGTAAACCACTTGGAGAGAGGGCTGTAAAACATTATGAAGCAGTATGTAAGTCTAAGTGCTATTGCTATTGAAGAACTTGTTGACTAAGGAAAAATAGATCCTTTCTTTTGCAAAAGAAGACTTATTAAATCTTTGACTTACAAACACATTTTAATTGGACAAAGGAGCAAGGGCTTCTCATTTAAAGAGATTAGTTTCCTGTGTTTATCCATGGTTTGAACAGGTCAGTCAGAGTATAAAATACTCTGTGTCATCTCTTTTAAGAAGAGACTGGACAGCCGTTTGTCTGAAATGGTGTAGGGTTCCTGCCTGGGCAGGGGGTTGGACTCAATGACCTCCAAGGTCCCTTCCAACTTTATTATTATTATTATTATTATTATTATTATTATTATTATTATTATTATTATTATTATTATTATTATTATTATTATTATTATTATTATTATTATTATTATT